CAACATTGCCGCCATCAGCCCTGCAGTGGTGCTGCCGGAGTGTTTGGGGGAGTCCATTGGCCTTCCCGGCTACGCGCCGAGCTTCACGTCAGGCGAGGCGTTGCAGCGCGTCGAAAACATGAAGGTGAGCGACCACCCGTGCCTCAAGGTTAACAAGTTAGAGACGGCAGGGCAGTGCAAATTCCTTGATTTACCAGCGCAGTTCGCGACGGAGTGCGGCAAAATGATCCAGTACTTCGCAGGTTACCTGGGCGACCACGAAGGCGACGTTCCTTGGGAGACTCTCTACGACTGCGCGAAGAAGTGCGACTTCAATGGCATGCTTGAGCCCCTCTCCCTGAGGGAGGAACCGCCTGGCCAATGCGCCATGCAGATAGTCGTCGTCAAGGAGTCCGACGGCAAGCACGACATCTTGAAAGACGTGAACCTCCTGGGGGTGCCGACCAGGACAGACTCGTGCCTTCAGATGTGTCGCGGCACTGGCTTGATATGGTGTTCGGGCAACCAGTTGTGCCGCCCGGAGAGGGAGGGGGGGAGGAGGAGAAGGAGGAGGAAGGCGAGGAGAAGGAGGAAAAACGCGATCGTCCGGATCGGCCGCGTTGCCGTCTTGTACATGCTAGAGAAGCTGGAGGGATGCCAGCTGCGCTACCATGCCGTGGCCCCTAAGCTTGGCAAGGTGCCTTCCAGGGAGACTGCCGAGCAGGAGCTCAAGGCCGCGGGGTACCAGTTCTTGCGTGAGAAGGGGCCGCGTGCCAACAATGCGAACCAGTTCATGGAGTTCGCGGATCGGGGGGGCGCTCGGTTAGAATCTCCCATCTTTGGGTGGGTGGGGGGGGGGGCGCGTCGAGAGGGCGCTGCGCAATTGCGCGAAGGGCAGGGCAAACGCTGAGAGTTCGCGATCTGGGTCCTGACGCTTCGCGACTTCGGCCCCTGTTTCCCCGGCGACGTGATCAAGCCCATCCGGTTTGCCACCGTCAGGGGCTTCGGCGTGGCGTGGATTGGCAGGGCGCGCGTCGGGGAGAGCGGCGGGTCGAAGACTTCGGCGTTCACGATGAGCCGCGCGGGGATCGAAGCGCTGGAACAGTCTGGAGAAGTCGAGGCGGGCGAGCTTGCCCCGACGATCGTGACCGCTCAGCATTTCGGTTTCTTCAAAGCTGAGCCTGTGACCCGCGTCAAACCAGCCGTCTTCGACGATGGCGGGTTGTCTGAGCAAGCGGCGTCCATCCTGAACGCGTTCCTGAGCCCGATCGAGGAAGGCGCTGCGATCTGGGCTCGGCGGGGGTCGTCCGGGTTCGCAACTGGGCCCGCCCGCCAGGTCTGCAACAATGCGCGCGACGACATACTCGAAGCCGAGCTCGTCTCCCAGTGGAAGGGGGGCGCGCCGGAGGACGTGAGCAGCGACGAGTTCGCGCGGCTGGTAAGGCCGTCATTTCGGCGGGTGCACGAGGCGACGACTTGTTGGCCGTCACGGCGCGGACGCACTTGTCTTGGTCACGAACATGTGGGTGTACTTGCGCCATGCATGCGAGGGGGGAAGCCGCGTGCCCTGGTGGGCCCGAGCCAACCCGAACAAGCCAGACCTCTTCAACCAGAAGTGCAAGGAGGCGTTTGGCAAGTGCCAGAAAGACCCGACCGAGCCCGTCTGCCCCCGATGATTTCGAAGGGGGCGTCAGTCGATCGACTGCTTGGAGCGCCTCTTGGAGAATAAGACGCGCCGCTCGTGCCGACTGTCACGGGCGCGGGCCTCTCCCCCGCTGCTGTCGCGCCGTCCTCGCCGAGAAAGAGCTGCGACGAGTGGGGCCCTCGCTTGGCGGGCGCCGTTGCATCTTCCCCGGGCGGCCTCCCGGCCGCAGTTGCCGCCGCTGGCAGGGGGCGCGCTGGCCCGCTCGACGGCGCGGGCAAAGGCGGGCAGAAGGCTGTCCACGCGGCAATTCAGCGGGACTTCGGGCAGAGGGGCGCGAAGATCAGCGGCGGGATGGTGGACTTGATGTCGCCTCCTCGCAAGCGCTTGGCGACGGGCGCCCAGAGCGCCGCGGGGCGCGGCGGCGACCTTGACCAGGTGGGCGTCGACGAGCAGAAGGCCATCCACGAAGCGATGCATCTGGATTTCATCCGGAAGAACCAGAAGGATGCTGGCGCGCAGATTGACATTGCCCCCCCCCCCCCCGCCAGCGCCTTGCCGCGGAGGGCGACGACTTCGACGCGGGGGCCGCGCCCGCGCGCGCCCTGGGCCGCGAGCGAGCGAGCGGAGGGGGCCGGCGCGCGGGCGGGGGGGGCGCCGCGTGCTTGGGCGGCGCCGCGTCGGATTGAAGTGCTGCGTGAGTGGGGCGCCCGCGCGCGGGCAACGTTGCCGCTTTCGGCTCGGGCGCCGACGGGGCGCGCGCCGCCGAGGGGGCGCGCGCCGCTAGCGCCACAGATGAGCCGCCAGCGCGCTCGTAGCCCTTCGCCAATCATGTTCTTCTCGATGCGCGCGCGCGCCCTGAGATGCGCGCGCATGTCGCGCGGCTGCTTTTTTGAAGCGAAGCTTGGGCGATGCGCGGGACTGAGAGTCCCAGTGCGAACGCCATGCCGTTGTGCCTTGGTCCGACTGATTGAAGCAGTTCTCGTCGTCGTCGTCGCCCCCCCCCCTCCCGCGCGTCGCCCGGTCGCTGGCTTTTTCGCCGCTCGCGTCGCAGTTGCGAGCGGGGCGGCCGATGTCTGCGCCGCACATGCACAGCAGTTGTTCTGGCTCGATGGCGTTTCCACGCGCGGGGCGAACCGCCCGCTGCCAGGGGCCCAGCTGCGCGGCCGCGGGGGCGGTCGGAATTGCAGAGTACAAGAAACGGGTGACTACCTTTGGAACGCCAAGTACGCGAAGGTCAACGACGCGGGCGACATGGCCAACAACTCGCCGCTGCGAGTCCTCATCTTTGCGCAGGTCATGGGCTTCTTGCCGACGTCGTGCGAGCGCCCTGAATGCGGTGGCGACATTGCAAACCCGTTTATCGCCAGGACAAGAGCACCTGGGCATGGCGCTGTTGCGATTGCGATTCTGGATGCCCACCGTGCAAGCCGAAGAGCCATCAGTCCATGACTGCTGGCTCGATTCTGCAGGGCGTCCAGGGGTCGTCGTGGGAGAAATTTCTTCGATGTTATGGTCGCGCGGGTCGTGTATCACCCCCTGCCAGCGGATGCGGCGAGAGTCGGGCGCACTCTACGCAGCAGCCATTGTAGCCTTGAAACAAGGTAGCCATCGTGCAGCGCAGGGCGACGCAGGGGCATGGCCAACGGGACCGCACTTGGGACAACCCCAGAATGGACTAATTGCTCAGTGTTTGCCAGCCGCCCGCAGGTGCCCGAGCACATGCGTGCAAACGCATGCAGCGTGGCCAATCCATGCAAATAAGCGAGGCTCTGCCACCGCGGCAAAGTCTTGACTGACAGGAGGGCGCACTCTGCACAGGAGTGCGGGCCACTGGCAGCAAACAGAAAAGCTCGGACACATTGCCGACAGCCGCGGTGGCGTGGCAGCAGGGACGGACAACTCCTCCCCGCCAGCTTCCTGACTGACACCAGCGTGTTCAGCTTCGACAGACGCATCGAGCAACTCACAGGTAACCGAGTTGTCTTTGGGATGGGCGCCTCTTTGGCTGGATCTAGCCACTGCAGCTGCTGACTTGGTGAGCTTGCGGGGGTCCAGCTGGAGGCATTGCTTCCGCTGTTTCCTGACTTGCCACCGCTAGGATACCCAAACCAATTCGCACATATATAGGGCTTGGTGGTATTAGAGCAGGTAAGGGCAACAGTACGATGGCCTCTCTCGTGTAGACAGGTGGCAACATCTGGCAGCTTGCCTGAACAGCCTCTGCTGGGTGGCTTGTCTACGTGTCTCTTGAAGCGAGGGCAGGTTTGGCACCTCCAGAATGTCCCGAGTCAGGCCCAATTGTGAGGCAACGGGTGAGAGCCCTCCTGCACCAAGGACTCAGCAGCAACACGAGAAACGCCAGATATATCTAGCCTGGGCCAGAGCGGCATACGGATATATGACAGCTTACAAACCAACATAGAGATTTGCTTTAAACCAGCCTCTGAATCACGAGGGTGAGCGACAGCTCCCTGCTTGGCAGCTGCATCTGCTAGGTCGTTGCCTTGTTTTACAGAAGCGCTCGACATCCGTCAAATCTGGACTGTCGCTGAGATGCGCCTTGACCTTATGGACAGCGAAAACAGATAGTGGCGCATCTTCAGGAACATGCCTGCGTATGACCTCTTGTATGAGGTCTGCCAAGGATGCGGGAGGGCGAAAACCATGACCACATTGAGGCAGTCACTGTATCCCGGGGATGGGTCGACCAGGATTGCATTGCCCGAGGAAGAGGAGGAGGAGGCGGATGAGGAGGAGGAGGAGGAGGAACAGAGGGAGGACGAGGAAGAGGAAGAGGAGAGAGAGGAGGAGGAAAGTGAGGACTCTGACGATGGTGGTGGTGATGCTGGTAATGGTAGTGGCATTGATTATGATGATTATCCTGATGGCGAGGAGAGGAGGGGAGGACGGGGAAGGAGGAGGATAAATGTCATGATGAGGATGAGGATGAGGATGAGGATGAGGATGAGGATGAGGATGAGGATGAGGAGGGCGAGGGAGAGGAGGAGGAAGAGGAGGAGGAAAAGGAGGAGGAGGAGGATGAGGAGGAGGAGGAGGCGGCGGAATATCAAGAGGAGGAGGAGGATGAGGAGGATGTTGACGATGAGGTCGTGGGGGTGGTGGTGGTGGTCGGGGGGGGGGGTGGGGGGGGGATGAGAGGGGGCGGCTTTTGCTGGTAGGACGGCGGCCGACCCTATGCCTGTTTCCTGCACCGCCCGCGCTCCGCCCTCGCCCTCCTGCTGCTGCTGCTGCTGCTGCTGCTGTTGCTCCGCATCCTCCTCCCGTGTCGACGAGCTGTCGGCCGGGATCCTTGGAGTCCGCTTTCTGCTTGTATTTCTCTACCTGCCTGCCCAAGCGAGCTGTCAGCCGCGAACAGGTAGTGGCCGAGGAGACCAAGATTCGCGCTGAAGGCGGAGCCAGGGGTTGTCAAGACAGATGCGTCCGGAACATGATGTCAGCGCGTGGGCACCAAGCAGTGCGTTCTTGCAAAGCAGCACCAGGGCACCTACCATAGAAGACCAATCAGATGACAGAAACCATGCAGCACAGCACAAGTCATAGGGTACCTGCCATAAGGCACCAGTTTTAGGGCACCAGCCGCAGAGCACCAGCTACCGTGCACCAGCCATGGATCATCAACCATAATCGTTGTGTGACCCCGGACCAAAACTCAGGGTCGGCTTTGGAGGTCTCTGCGGCAATCGCGGCGGCCACACACATTGGGGGAAGGTTTCTGTCAAGGAGTGGCCTGCCCCTTCCCAGTCCCCCCCCGGTTGCGATGTAGACGTGGCTCGTAATTAACAATATGGCGACAGAGAGCTGTGAATCTATGTCCAACGTGGGCAATCATTGTCTGGCGGGTTAGTGGTCGATGAAGACACAATGGTATAAGGCACGATGGAGCATATCAGTCACTAGGCGCCAGCGCACGACTGACCAGTCGCAACACACACATGGCACCAGCGGATGGGGCACCAGACGCGGTGCACCAGCGCGCGCGAGCGGCCGACCGCGACGGAGGGCCAGCTTCTCATAGCGTCAGGGCGAAGCCCACGAGTGCGAGCACTGTTGCGGGAACGAGCGAGGTGTAGGGCAGCCACCGAGGACGGGGGATTCGAAGAGAGCGCGCTCCCCTCGTCCGTCGTCTCCAGGCGAGTCCAGGCTTCATTTCGCCTCCGTCCCGAGTGTATAGTACACGTGAAGGATCGAGGTGCCTTCATCGCCGTGCCTGCTACGCGCGTTTCATTCGAAGCTGCCAGAGCAGCCTGCTCTCAGAGGCGGACGGGGGAAAGGACGAGGGTTGTGGGGCCCAAGGCGTGGCGATCGAGCTGTCCAAGGGCTCGCTTGCAGTGCGGGCCGTCATCCACCCAGGCGGGGGCAGAGGGCCGCCCAGCGGAGGGCGCACCTGATCTCTCCACAGGCTCGCCTTGGCTCCGCCAGCGCCGACCCTTTCATCAACGGTTCCGTTTCGGGAGGAACTTGCACACGATGCAGAGTTTGCCAATGCTCTTCTCGAGGCGAACTTGTTGAGCGGATCAGCGTATGGGGGGGTCAAGATGCGTGTTTCGATTATGTCGGTGTTTGCTACCAGTCTGGAGCTGGGAGACGGAGGTGGAGGGAAGAGGATGAGGATGAGGATGGGGATGAGGATGGGGATGAGGATGGGATGAGGATGATGGTGATGATGGATGAGGAGGTCTCCGTCTCCCAGTCCTCCCTTCTGGCTCCCTCTTCTGGTCGCTGTGATACCGCCCAATGGGGCAATCCAATGCCAACGCTGTTCGAGCTCCCATGACAGTTCGGTGATCCACTCGATGGGCTGGGGCTGTGGTTCACATGTACAGTAGGTGCCAGCATGGCATGTCGGGGCTGAGGGAGGAGACACCCCCGATTTCTCCTCCCGCTTTCTTCCTCTTCCTCCCTAAGCGCACCCATGCTTCTTCTCCTCCTCCTGCTACTCCTCCTCTTGGTTCTCGTCCCGCTTCCGTTCTCCTCCAGGAGGTCCTCCTCCCCCTCCTCTCCATGACTCTGCCTCATTTCTGCTTTCCCCTTCTCCTCCTCCTCCTCCTCCTCCTCCTCCTCCTTCTCCTCCTCCTCCTCCTCCTCCTCCTCCTCCTCCTCCTCCTCCTCCCTCCTGCCCTGTTTCTGCCCCCTCCGTTGCTCTTCCTCTGCGCCCAGCGCCGGTGCCTTAACCCCGCTGCCGCCCCCCCGACCTCCTCTTCACCCGTGTGCGGCGTCGAAGTTCCGCCAGATGCCAAGATATCCAGCTGGAGACAGTGTTCCGATCTCTTAGCGATAACGGGCGTGACCGTGGGGGGGAGGTAGGGGGGGGAGGGGGCCGGTCACGTCGCGATTCGCGCCAGCGCCGCTTGGGAATGCTTAAGAATGGCTCAGACGGCGCCGGCGACACTTGTGACGTGATCAGAGAGGGGAGGTTGGGGGGGGGGGGGAGGGGCCGGTCACGGGCGTTATCCCGCACTGAAAAAAATTGGGCTCCTGCGGCACGTCCTGCCAATCTGCCAGCTCAGCACGCTGGGTGGTGACTGTTCGAGGAGCGCACATGCAGGAGGCCGTCCCGTGTGGCATTTGGTATCCCGAGACCCCTGGGAGAGCCGTAGCATGTGACACGGTGTTCTTCGTCGCGTCGGGGTGTCTCTCCTCGCGTTCGTCGTCTCATTCCTCCTTTCCTCCTCGTCCCTCTTCCTCTCTTGGGACCTCTTGGGGTCCTTTCGGAGGCGTCTTCGGGGCCTCTCGGGGCCTCTTGGGGGCTTCTTCGGCAGTCTTAAGGCGTCTTAGGGCGCTCTTGGGCATTCTGGTGCCTTCGGAGCCCGTCTTGCGGGAAGCCTTTTGTGACATCTTCAGGGCCGCTTGGGCCGTCTTCTCTTGGGCCGTCTCGGGGCCATCTTGGAAGCCTCTTGGGCCGTCTTAGGCTGACAGCAGCTCGGAAAGGCGAGCACGAGACCACAATGTCACAACTTTAGGGGGATCATAGATTTTGACCACCTCGGGTCCTCCCAGAGGTCTTGCTGGCTGAGCCTCAACCTCCTGGGGTATGGTTCCGCACCCTCTCCCTCGCTCCTCTCCCCGTCTCTCTATCTGCCTTCTCTTGGTCCTTCCTCTTCTCCCCTCTCTGGCCTACCTTCCTCCTCTCTCCACTGGTTCTGGGCCCCCCCGAGCTCACGGCTTGGCACCCGCGACTCAGTTGGTGGTCCTGCTTTTTGCGTCACCAGAGGTGAGCAACCCGTAGGGGGGTGCGGACCGCCCCCCGCTGCAGCTGCGCGCCTTTGCCACGGCGTGCTTGTGCCTGCGGCGCATCCGCCCTGACCGGCCAGCTAGGTGCCGCGGGCGCTACTCCCCGGGTCTGAAGCATGCGCGGGACTTGCGCACGTGGCGTCCTGACCGATCCGTCTGCCTCATCCGTGTGCTCTCCGCCTCTATGAATACCTTTGTTCTGTCTGTCTGTCTCTATCTCTCTCTCCTCTCTCCTCTCTCCCTCTCTCTCTCTCTTTTTCTATATGTTTCTCTCTCTGCCTCAGTCTCTGTCTTTCTCTGCGTGACTGTCTGCGTGCCTGTGTATCTGTGTTTCTTTCTTTCTGTCTGTCTGTCTGCCTGCCTGCCTGCCGCCTGCCTGCCTGCCTGCCTGCCTGCCTGCCTGTCTGTCTGTCTGTCTGTTTGTATGTCTGTCTGGTTGGCAGTCTGTTGTCTGACTGGTTAGCAAAAGTTTGTCTGTCTGTCTGTCTGTGTGTTTGTCTGTCTGTCAATACTGCTCTCTCTCTTCCGTTCCCTTTCTCTCATGTTCAAAGTTTCTTTTTTTTGTTTCTCTCTCTCTCTCTCTCTCTCTCTCCCCCCCCTCTTTTTTTGTGCATTTCTCTCTCTCTCTCTATCCCTCTCTTTCCCTTTCTCTTGCTCTTGCTCTCTCTCTCTCTCTCTCTACAGATGCATGGTCCAGGGTCTGCCCCCCCCCCCCCTCCCCCAATCATGCTGATGATGCCATCGACCCCCCACCCCGCGCGATGGCCCCCCACCCCTGTGAGCGTGGTGCCCCCCCCCCTTGTGGGTGTGGTGTGGGGCCCCCCTTGTGGGTGTGCAGTGGTTAGGGGGCCCGCCTCAGCAGCCAAGCGTCGCCGTCACCGTCGCCGCCGCCGCCGCCGCCGCCATTGTCGTCGTCGTCGTCGTCGTCGTCGTCGTCGTCGTCGTCGTCGTCGTCGTCGTCCCCCCCCCCCATCCCATCATGGGGGGGGGGCCCGAGGGACCCTGAGACCCATCTCAACTGGGGGGGGCCATGGGCCCGGAGCCTGGGATCATATTTGTCTATAGCCGTCTCTCAAGCAATACATGTCCTCCCTGCCATTTTCTATCTGTCTCTCTCCCTCTCTTTCTGCCTCTCTCTCTCTGTGTGCTTCTCTCTGTGTCTCTTTCTCTCTCTCTCTCTCTCTCTTTCTGTCTTTCCCTGTCTGCCTGTCTCTCTCTCTCCTGTCGCTGTCTCCCTCTCTCTCTCTCGCTCTCTCTCTCCATCTCTTCCTCATTCTCCTGATCCTGGTTCTAATGTTCCTCCTCCTCTAACCCCCTCTCTTTTTCTCCTTCTTGCCCTTCTCGTCCTCCTCGTTTTCCTGATCCCTGTCCTTCGCTTCGCAGCTTTCGTTGAGCCAGGGCTGTTCAGAGGGGTCGGGGCCGTCCTGGCTGGAGCCCGCAATCCGCGCGGTGTTCCGTCGCTTCACGGGCTGGCAGGCGATAGGAGCGCCAGCGACGTCAGGGTGGCGCTGGCCGGTTCCGCGAGCTTCGGCGAGTCGCTGACGAAGTGTTTCCACGATCTCAGCGGGATCGACTCGGTCTCTACGGGGACGATCAGGATCCGACCCGCTGGCGCCCCGACGATCGTCAAGGCTCGCCGGCGGCGCGGATGGCCGGACAGGAGGGCCCGCAGCCCTAGAGGTACAACGGTGGAGGTTGGGAGGGAGGGCGGTAGGTGGGAGGAGAGGGTGGCTACTATCTCTGGTGGGGGCCGAAAGGGGCCATTGGGCCGCTCAAGGTCCAAAGACACCCTCCTCCCTCTTCTTTTCCTCCTCCTCCTCCTCCTCCTCCTCCTCTGTGTCCTCTTCCTGGAACTGTAAGGGGGAGTTCAACAGTTGCGTGCCGTTCTTGGATACCCAGAAAGGACACGAACGGACACTCCATTTCGATACCAGTCATCTGCGTGGTATGGGACGAGGCGAGAAGAGGATGGGGATTATCATGAGGATGATGAGACGCACTCAGGAGGACGGAGATGTGCTGTAGTGTGTTTAACTCTGTGCTGCCACATCAAAGCGAGCAGGATCATCTGCAATCTCTAGGTCATGGAGCAACTCATCTGCCTGGCCACATTCAGATCGAAGACGCCTACGGCCAGTCACCGCCGCCCCCTGCTTTCCTGGAAACTCCAATGTGCCCAACGTGTTGGGGCGCGGGGCAGCCCTATGAAGCCGTTTTGGGGCAGCCTTGGAGCTCGTGGCGAGCCTTTTGGGCCGTCTTCGCTTCGGAGCCTGCTGTGGTCATCTTAGGCCATTTGGAGGTTCTCTTGGGCCGACTTGGGGCGCTCTTGGGCCGTCTGCCGACTGGGGCCTCTCTGGGCCGCCTTCGGGTAGTAGTGCGGCTCTTGAATGCCCTCTGGGATCGACTTGGGGCTCTCTTGAGACGCCATTGAGCCGACTTGGAGTCCTCTGAGGGTCCTTTTGGACCATCTTGCGTCGGTCTGGGGCGCCTCGTGGGCCATTTGGACGTTCTGAAGCCTGAAAAGGCGAGGACACGACAATCTTTCAGACACTTCAGGAAAACTAGTGATGTATCTTAGGCTTCTTTGGGAGCCATCATGGGTAGGGTAGTCTTGGACACTTCTCGGGAAGTCTTCGAGCCGTCGTTGGCCGTTTCGGAGCCCTTCCGGAACCTCTCTTGGGAACTTGTGTTTTTTTTGGCCCGTCTTGGAAGACATCAGGGAGCGTCTTGGGCCGTCTTGACCCGTCTTGAAGGCCACCTTGGACCATCATGGCTGTCTTGGAAGCGGGCTTCGTGCACTTTCTAGGCTTGACGCGGGGCTCGGGCAATAGTCTGAGGGGTTTGTGAGAATCTCTTGGGGGGGCCAAGAACTGTTGCGAAATCTCAGTAGTAATCAGTTTTGCTCAAGGACTCGCTGGATCCATGCTGTTCAATTTGAACTGTGCAATCTATGTCGTGCAGTCCACTCTGCTGAACTTGAAGTCGTCATCTCCACTGCTCGCGCAAAAATCCCACCCACCCAGCCGCAACTTGGTTTGCAGAACCTGTTAAGACCGACTACGACGACACCGACGACAACGACTAGGACGACACCGACGACGTCTCCGACGACTTCGACGACGACAACGACGCCGACGCCGACGACGACGAAGACGACGACGACGCCAACGAAGGCGACGACGAGGGAGGAGGAAGGACGACGACGGCGACAACGACGACAACGACGACAACGACGAGGGAGGAGGGAGGACGGCGACGACGCGAACGACGACGAAGGAGGAAGGACGGCGACGCCGACGACGACAACGACGAGGGAGGAGGGAAGACGACGACGACACGACGACGACGACGACGGCGACGAAATAGGAGGGACGACGACGAGACGCCGACGACGGACGACGACGACGACGTGGGAGGAGGAGGAAGGACGACCACGGCGACAACGACGACGGAAACGACCACGACGCCAAAGAGGACGACGACGACGAACACGAGAAAAGACAGAGGACGACGTAGGCGACGACGACGACGACGACGCGGGAGGAGGGAGGACGGCGACGACGACGACGACGACGACGACGACGACGCAAGAGCGCGCGCGCACGCTTTTGTTGAACATCCGTGTTGCGAAACCTTGGGTTTTTGTAGGTTTTTTGGACGCACGATTTTGAAATCCTTCCGAAACCGATGGGTTTTGAAGGTTTTCGTGACGACGCGCGCGTCTGCACTTCGTCCCATTTTTTGCAGAGGGTTCTCGCGACGGCACACGCGCAAGGGCGTTCGACAGATTTCGACATGCGCGCGCGAAGCCCGTTTGATAGCATTTTGTGAAAGTCTTGAAAAAAAACCTATGGTTTTCTTCAGATTTCGCAAGAGCTCGCGCGGAAGCTTTTTTAGCAAGTCAGTGTTGCTAAACCATGTGTTTTTTGTTTGTTTTTTGGGAACTCGATTGCGAAATCCTTCCGGCACCGAAGGTTTTTGAAGGATTTCGGCATGCGCGCGCGACGACGCGCGCGTGTGCACTTCGTCCCATGTTTTGCAAGGGATTCGTGAACAAGTGCTATGTTCGAACAAAAATGCCACCGCATAGTAGTGTTGTTTACAAGGGAACCTCAGGGGGGGGACCCGGCCTGCCTGGCATGGTATGATTGCATATTTAGGATGGACGAGTGTGCAGAATATATATATATATGTATATATATATATATGACATTGTAGTATCCCAAGGGGAAGCGATAAGTCCGGGGGGGTAGAGTCTATTCTCTTTTTAGAAAGGAGACTCTAAGTCGGTTCGCGTTTTCCCCTCTGCCTTCCTTCCCTCTCTCTCTCTCTCTCTCTTATCTCTCTCTATATATATATGTGGTACAGCTGGGGCCTCGTGGGGCCTGATGACACCTTCCCCCCCCCCTCCCTCCAAACTGGCCGGACCGGGCTCCCGGGGGAGGGGGTTTGGGGAGTTGGGGAGGGGAGACATCTCACACGCCGTGACCCCAAGGGGCCGGCGGATGACGGGAAGCGCGCTTAGGCTCGAAGGCTCCCGGAGGGAACACATTTATCAAGTGGAGGGGTCCAGGACGTGGCGGATGACGGGAAGCGCGCTAAGACTCTTTAGAGTCGCGCGATGGACGTTGGTTATCGGCCCGGAGGGGAAAATATTTATCAAGTGGGGGGGTCCAGGGTGGGAGTGGTGGCGGGTCGCGCCTCCGCTGAGACCTGGCGGATGACGGGAAGCGCGCTAAGACTCTTTAGAGTCGCGCGATGGACGTGGGTTATCGGCCCGGAGGGGGAAACATTTATCAAGTGGAGGGGTCCAGGGGGAGAGTGGTGGCGGGGTCACGCCTCCGCTGAGACCTGGCGGGTTTGAAAAATAAGCGTTTCGCGTGAGATATCTTCACGAAATCGAGATGTCGGAGGCTATCGTTTCAGACGTCTTATGCTAAACATTACCGTTTCGCCTGAGAGATCCTCGCAAAGCGGAGATGTTGAAATTGCTTGCCTAATTTTCTGGTCCTCGAAAATGGGCGTTTCGCCCGAGGCATCCTCGAAAAATGGGATGCCGACAGAGCTCTTGTAAGGCATCTTTTCGGAGCGATCTCGGATGACCTCCAAGATGGCCCAAGAAGCGAAGGTATTGAAAAACCCATGTGTTCTTGACACTCTCGTTTAAACATCAGCGTTTCGTTCGAGACATCCACAAATTGCCTTTCGGACGGATCCTCGAAGGCGAAATTATCTAAAAACCTATGGGTTTTCAACGGTTTTGTTTAAAACATAGCGTTTCGCTCGAGACATCCTCTAACAAGTTTTGAACTCACGCGGAAAGTGAACTCCACCTGATATCTGTTGTGGGCGTTCGGGGTAAGAGCGACGTCTAAATTCGCGCGGGTAGTGAACTCCACCTGGTACCTTTTGTGGACGTTCGCGGTGAGCGGTGACTGAAGTTGCGTGGATTGTGAATTCCATTTGGTATCCTTTGTGGACGTTCGTGGCTAGCGGCACGTCGGAATTTGCGCGGATCGTGAACTCCATCTGGTTCTTTTTGCGGATGTTCGGGGTCAGCGGCACGTCTGAACTGGCGCGGATAGCGAAGTCCACCTGGTACCCCCTGTGGACGTTCGGGGAGGGCGTGTACGCGACATGCGAAGTTGATGTTGGTGTACGTTCTTGCCAAGCTCTTTGATTTCACGCGCTTCCCGTTCATGTCAAGAAAGGTTTGAACAATAAGCGTTTCGCGTCAGACATCCTCACACAATCGAGATGTCGGAGGCTATCGTTTAAGACGTTGTAGGTTAAACATGAGCCTTTCGCTTGAGACATCCTCGGACAATGGGTATGTTGAAATCGGTGGTCTAATTCGCGGACCTCCAAAAATGGGCGTTTCGCTTAAGACATCCTCGAAACAATGGGATGCGCAGAGAGCTCTTGTAAGGCATCCTTTCGAAGCGATCTCGGATGACCTCCAAGATGGCCCAAGAAACGAAACTATTGAAAAACCCATGGCTTGTTAACAGTTGTGTTAACATCAAAGCGTTTCTCTCGAGACATTCCCCAACAATTGCCTTCGGACGGGTCCTCGAAGGAGAAGTTATTGAAACAACGATGGGTTCTCAACACTTTGGTTCTAACCAGAGTGTTTCGCTCGAGACATCCTTCAAACATTGCCTTCTCCTCCTCCTCCTTCTCCTCCTCCTCCTGTTCTTCCTCCTCCTCCTCCTCGCCCTCTTCCTACTACTGCTCCTCCTCCTCCTCCTCTTCCTCCCCTCCTTCCCCTCCTCCTCGTCCCCTTCCTCCTCCTCCTCGTCCTCTTTCGTCTTCTCCGCCCGTTCTTCCTCCTTCTCCTTCTCCGTCTCCTCCTCGTCCTCCTCCTCCTCCTCGTCGTCCTTCTCCCCCCCCTGCTCCCTGCTCCTGTTCCTCCTCTTCCTCGTCCTCCGCCCCCTCCACTGATGCTGCTGCAGCAGCTGCTGCTGCTGCTGCTGCTCCTCCTCCTCCTCCTCCTCCTCCGCCTCCTCCTCCTCCCCCTCCTCCCCTGGTAGTCGTCTTCGCCGTCGTCCTCCTCACGCGGAAGAGTGATAATGATATTCAGGAATATGTTTGTGAACGTTCGGGGCGCGCGTGTCCATACGTATCCCAT